CATTTTTAAGGTGAGAGGAGAGAGATTTAAAAAAAACACGAGGGGGCAAAATCTATAAACAGAGGGTGGTTTGTGTGTGGAATGAACTTCCTGACGAAGTGGTGGATATGAGTACAATTACAGTGTTTAAAAGACTTTTGGATAAGTACATGAATAGGAAAGGTTTGGAGGGATATGAGCTAGGAGAAGACAGATGAGACTACTTTAGTTTGGGATTATGTTTGGCGTGGACTGGTTGGACCAAAGGGTCTGTTTCTGTGCTGTATGACTCTATGAACTATATCTAACTTGTTCTTAAAAACATTAAATGTCTTGACCCCAATCACATACAGAAATCTACAGGCTAACCATTCTCTGAGTGAAGAAATTTCTCCTCCCGTATCTTTAGTTTGACCCTGGTTCTGGACAATCATCAGAAATATCCTTTCTACATTTTATAGGGGATCATTTAGCTTAGTTGGCTGAACAGCTGGTTTGCAATGCAGAGTAATGTTAACAGCATGGGCTCAGTTCCTACACTGGCTGAGGTTACTATTAAGGCCTTTTCTTCTCAAACTCTTCCCCCACCTAAGATGTGGTGACCCTTTGGCTAAACAACCAACAGACATTTCTCTCTAATGAGAGAGCTGTCATTTGGTCTAGTAAGACTATTGTGACTTTGCCTTTTTTAATCCTGTTAGAATGTTATAGATTGTTATAAGATTCCTCCATATTCTTCTAAACTCCAATGAATATAGTCCCAACTGCTACTGTCTTTGTTAACAAGTCAATCCTGCCATCCCAGGCATCTGTCTGGTAAAACTTTGTTGCACTCTGGCCGCAGCCAGAACATCCTCCCTCAGATAAGGAAACCAAACTGCATGCAGTATTTCAGGTGTGGTCTTACCAAGATCCTTTACAGTGGCAGCAAGACCTCACTGCTTCTGTACTTGAATTCTCTTGCATGAAGGCCAACAAACCATGTGTCACCTTTACCACCTGCTTTACTGCCTGCTGCACTTGCATACATACTTTCATCAATTGGTGTATGAGGATACCCAGGTCTTGCTGCACATGACCCTCTCTCAATTCATAGCCATTCAAATAATAATCCACCTTTCTGTTTTGTCTCCCAAATTTGATATCCTCACATTTATCCACATGATACTGCATCTACCATGCATTTTCCCACTTACTGAGGTCCAAATCACATTGAAGCATCTCTGCATCCTCCTTACAGCTCACCATCCATCCAGCATTGTGTCATCTGAAAAACTGGAAATATTATATTTTAGTTCTCTAATCTAATTCATTAATATATAATATGAATAGCTGAGGTCAAAGCTCTAATTCCCACCATACCCTACTAGTCACTGCTTGCCACTCAAAAAAAACCCTGTTTATTCCTACTGTTTGTTCCCTGTCACAAATTCTCTACCATGTCAGTTCACTGCCCCCATCGCATGTACTTTAATTTTACATGCTGATCTCTTGTGTGGGATCTTATTGTTAACCTTCTGAAGTCCAAATAAACCATATCCACTGGCTCCTCCAATCAACTCTACTAATTATATCCTTGCAAAATTCCAGTGGTTTTGTGAAGCATAATTTCCATTTCATAAATCCATGCTTACTCTGTCCAATCCTGTCACTGTTTTCCAAGTGCTCTGCTATCAAGTCTAGCATTTTCCCTCCCACTGATGTCAGGTTAACCAGTCTTTCATTCCCTGTTTTCTCTCTATTTTGTTTCTTAAATACTGGGGTTACATTACTACCATCAGATCCATAAGAAATGTTCCACTCTCCTATTTTTATCCTTTTCACATTGACATGGTTGACAGAAGAATAATTTAGTTTTTACGAATTAGCTCATAATTGTCAGCCATTATTGCTGTCTGATTTGCGGTTGCAACTCTTTGGTCCTCAACATGAGTTCTTATTATAGAAGGAAACGTGTTTTAAACTTTTCTCAGAGAATAATCTCTGAGAGCTTCATATATGGTGTCAGCTTTCAAAGCTGGTATCCAGCTGTCAAAATCACTTCGCTTAACATTTTGGAATTCAATATAGGCTTGCCCAGGCTATTTCCTTAAATTCTGGGACTTTTGCCTTTATGCCTTAGGCATTAACATAAATGCAGCCAATACAGTTTTCTTTACAGCACTGTAATCCCAAGAAACCTCAATTGACAGTGAAGCATAAATTTCATGTGCTTTTCCTGTCAACTTACTCTACCTGGAGTACCTGGCCTCTAAATTTCCTGTGAATCCAAATGCCATGCTAGTATTTTAATAATCTCTGCCTTTCTAGCACTGCCAGGCAATGTCACCTCCAGTATACCTAGCAAATCAGTCAAAGTGGTCTTTGAAATTTCACTTAAGACTATTAGGAACAACTCTGCCACCTGAAGGAAATTCTTCACCGTTTCCAGTGCCATGTCTTAATTGCAGTACAGAACCTGATTGTTTTCCTTCACTTGTGTTGCTTATTGATACCACACCCAAATCCTTGTTGCCTCAGTTTCAAGTCAATCCTTAATAAGTCTCCAAAATCTGTTTCACTCGCTGGGATGTCCCATTGGAAATCAAGCTCTATGATTCATGGAGGCATCACAAAAGTTAAGGATTCTTAGGAAGTACACCGAATTCACCAAGCTTCCTGTCTTGAAGACACATATTGACAGAAAAGTTGGACCAAGTTTCTATAATTAACAAAAAATACTATTTATTACATGTAATCAGACTCTGGCTATGGATTATTAACCATTGGCATACATCTCCACCTATTAAAACTCTAATCCTTTTATAAATGGACACACATACACAAAAATGTAGGCATTATGGATGGAATGAAAGACAGGGAAGGCAGTTCAGTGGTTCCTTTTACAGGGTTGTCAAGACGCATCTGATGAATATTTTTTTGGTCAGAATGTGTCTTCTCGGTCTTCCTTCTCCAGACACTTTCACTGGTTTATGGGGACACAGGGCACCAGTTGACACTTATAAAAGGTCCCTAACTTATTAATTAAATATCCTGGCTTACAGCAACTTCAGGCTTAATGTAGCCTTTTCTGCAGAACTTGAGCTGATGGAGGTTTGAAGACTTTTCACTATTTAGGTCTGAAGCCTTTTCACTATCTTATACATGGACCCAGGCTGCTCACTTACCGTGAGCCAATCACTGAATTGTTGGTAGGCAGAATGTCATCAAAATTGGTCAGTAATCCACAAAACAAGCAGCTGCTTGCTGCTGACTGAATCTCCATTTGTATACATACCATGGCTCCAGTTTTGCTGCAAACTATATTCCTTCAGCAGTCATTGATTTTTAAAACAGTCCTTTTCCAATTTCAGTCCATGATTAAAATACAGAAAAATAAAAATACACAGTCTTTACACTGCCCTGAACTTTAATCCTGAGGATGCAAGAAGTGGGTGAGTTTCTCCAATGTGCCAGCCTATCCAATTATTTGTCACTACCATGACATTCCCCATCACATCTAGGAGGTGAATACACAGTAATTCCCAGCAGGTTGCTGTGAAGGATAACTCACATGGGTAATGGAGTCCAGTTTTTGGGAGCAAGTTTGGGGTGGGAGTAGTGGAGGGAACTCTAAGAACTCTAAGCAGCAACAGGATACGGCAGAATCAGTTCCACCATTCAATGTGATCATAGCTGATCTTGAGCTTCAACTCCATTTTACCATGTGCCCTATATCTATTGATTCTTTGATGTACCAAGCATTTACATATACCTCACACTCGTAAAACTCCATCTGCCAACCTGTTGTTCATCCACTTAACCTGTTGTTTTTTGTTTGTTTTCTGGCCTCCTATATCCGCTTCACTGCATGCATTTACACCTAACTTTGTATCTTCAGAAAACTTAAATACATTATGCTCTGTCTATCCTTCTGTATCTAAAAATAGATTGTAAATGGTTGATACTCCAGCACTGATCATTACATCCTGCCGTCTTGAAAACATTTATCCCTATTCTTTGTTTCCTGTCTGTTAACCAATCCTTCATCCATGTGAATATGCTCCCCCCTCCCCACTTCTCTTCATTCTCAACCTGATATGCCCTTAAGCTTGCACGGTGAACTTTTGTGTGGCACCTTTTAGAAATCTAAACATACTGCATCCGCTCATCCCCGTTTATTTACTTTGCTAATTACATCCTCCAAAAAAACTCATCCATTTTTCAAACAGGAATTTCATTCTGTAAAACCACTTTACTTGTTCTAATCATATTATTACTTTTCTAAGCATGATGTTTAGACTTCCTTAATAGTAGATTCCTGCATTTTCCTTATGATTGATCCTAGGCTAACTGGCTTGTAGTTCCCTAATTTCTCTCTCCCTCTTCTCTTGAACAGCGGTATTACATTTGCTAACTTACGATCTACTCAGACTATTCTAGAAACTAAGTAATTATAGCCAGCACGTATACAATCTCTGCCGCTTTTTTATTAAGAGTTTGAGGGTGAAGGCCATCAGGCCCTTGGGAATTGTCAGATTGTCGTCCTTTGTGTTTCTCCAATACTTTCTCTTCTACTGATATTTAACCTTTATTTCCTCACTCTAATTCACCTCCAGGTAACCCTCCATTTCTGGTATGTAACCTACATCTTATATTGTTAAAGCAGACACAAAATATTTGTTCAATTTCTTTGCTGTTTTCTTTCTTCCCATGAAATATATTTCCTCCATAAAGTATAACTTTTGGTAGATGACATGGAGTACTATCAGTATTGCAGAAGAAATACATTCTCTCTATGTCAAAACACAGCTGAATGGTGTAAAAAGCAGCGAAAAAGGACGAGCTGGAGTTAAGTTGAAGTGAGACATTGATAAATTAAAATTGTAGAAAGAAGAAATAATTGAAAACCAAATGTAAAATGGTTAATTTGACAAATGAATAATAGTTCAGAAGTGACTCTGTGGGTAAACTCACAAATGTGGTTTCCTGTCATAAATGTTAACTAGATACTAACATATTATTGGATTTCATATCTGTAGGCTCTGCAGAATCTGGGGTTTCATTTTGGGTCATTTTCTGCTCCTTGTACTAAGGATCTGGTATACCTCATTGAACCCAGTGTGGGCATGCAACACATTCAACACTTTAACGCTGTCCCTGGGCATCATAGTGACTCTGGACAGAATATATTCCGGTAAGGAGAACATTCAAGCAATGCAGTCTGCTGTTACATTCAAGAAGGTTACAATGTAATGCTGGTTAAGTAAACTGTAATATATGTTATTGCTTTCTGAAAAGCCTTCAAGGTTATTTTAAATGTGACAAGCATATTTTTCAAATAATTATGATCTGCCACATAAAATCTTTTGACCATCATTTGGCTTTTTTTAAAGCAGAAAGCATTGGGAATACACCAGAAATATTGGGTCTTAAATAAATTAGAACAATGAAGATCGTGGTATGATACTTTTGTTTTGTCTCATGGGATGTAAGACCAGCATATTTTACTCATCCCTAATTACTCTTGTACTGATAGGCTTGGCACACCATTTCAGAGGGCAATTAAGATTGTGGAATTCACGCCCTGGGTTAGTGGCTGGGCAAAATCTATTCAAGAACAGGTCAGATAGATGAATAGAGGAAAAGTGATTGAAGGGACATGCGACCAGGATAGAGAAATGTGTTTGGAACCATTGCTATGTAGTTTGGAGTCACATGTGGCCCAAACTAGGTAAGGATGGCAGGTTTCCATCCCTAAGGGATATCAGTGAATCAGATTTATTTTATTACCATGATCAAGGGTCGTTTCCTGGTCACCATTAGAGAGATAAATTGCCAGATTAATTAATTGAATTTCACTTCCACTAGCTGCCATGATGCGATGGATTTGAATTCATTTCCCCAAGGCACTAGTCTGGGCCTTCGGCTTACTAGCCCAATAACATTGCCATGCACCACCCTAGAGGATAAAGGATTAAAAGGGATATACTGAAGCCAACTGTATTTTCCTAATATTTGAAAAATCGAAAGTGAAGGACCACGGAAGTAAGATATAATGTTAGATGTTTAGGATAGTGAACCAAGGAAACTCCTTCACTTAGAGCTGTGAGATTGTGGAATTCACGCCCCGGGTTAGTGGCTGGGCAAAATCTATTCAAGAATAGGTCAGATAGACAAATAGAGGAAAAGTGATTGAAGGGACATGCGACCAGGATAGATAAATGTGTTTGGAACCATTTGCTCATGTGGAAGATAAATTCTGTGGACAAAATGCTCTGGTTGCTGGAAATCTGACAAAATACCTGACTTACCGTGGCCACCCCCTCCACCCCCCAACCCCGGACTGGAATTGGACACACCCTCCCCTTATTAATTGTGGGAGCACCCCCTGACTGTCCTTAGTCTCCTTTAATACCATTAAGGACTGGCCCTCTTTGACTTTCAGACATGGCCATTTGGTTGAAACACATGCAGTGTGTTGCTGCATGAGCAGCTGACACATTGGGTCGTTGTGACATTGATATAGCATGGTGCTGTACACCAATCAGTCCATCCCCTTGGCTGATCAATCCTGACAGTGATAAACTGACTGCCTCTCCCTATCACTAAAAAGCAATGAACAGATTTCTTTCATGATCTGTATTTTCACAACTTTCTCATCATTGCCTACTCTGCTCAAGATGGCAGAAAATTCCCCTTGGTAATTTATGTGCATCATTTATTTATTAATGTGTGTGAACTCTCCGTGACCAACACAGTTAATATTAAGTATTTATATGATCCAGGGATGATTAAAACTAATCTGCAAAGTGCGCTCCTCAACAGGATCAGGTGCTGAGCACAAACCAGATTTTGCCTCAGTCTTGAATAGCTACAGGATCTAAATACACAATTTTTCTCAGTTTATTATTAGTTTCCTGTGGCAGTGCAAATTGAAAATCAAAGCCAAGTGCAGTATTCAGGTAAAGCAGTGTTGGATACAGGGACTAATTGAACTACAGCAGGATAGTGGGCAAGGAGATGGGAGTGAGGAGGTAGGAGCAATGGAGGAAGACAACAGGAAGAGAGGATGAGGACGATGGCAAGGAAGGGTGGCAGAAGAGGAAAGAGAGTGGTGGGAAAGTGACTGGACAGAGTTGAGCAGGGAAATGGGGAAAAAATGTTTGATACCATCCACTAGGAAATTCCTTTCTGGATGGTGCTCATTTTAGTGGTAGACTCCTGGATGTACTGGGTCTTAAAAAGATTTTGAGCAGTTTGATGGATTGGAGTGAACTATCCTTACACCCTGTGTATAGGAATTGCGTTTGAGAAGTTGGGTGTGGAAGCGATTGTAGTAGGGTCAGTTAAAGCAGTAGATTAAATGTCGTTGCTTTTTCTTGATGGGGCTGGAAAAATATGGCAGTAGATACCACTGCTTCATGTATCACTGGAAATCATGGGTGAGATGGGGATGTTAGGAGATTGATGATGAGAAAAACACAAAAAAAGTTATAAAAAAGAAATGGTGGGGAAGAGATGATGGGGAACAGTAAAGGGAAAACGTTTTCGTGTTTCATTAAATGTTACAAGTTTAATTCGTAGATAAATGGAAGTATTTTGAATGAAACTGATATTGACATTCTACAAAAGGTACAACTAGGTTAAAAACAGTTTTGCAAGCTGGATATCTGAACTAAAAACAAAATGCTGCAGAACATGCTGTTTTTAGTACAACTGGATTAGTTACATTCGCAGTCCCGTTCTGCCAGAAAAAGGCTGACTACTTGGAGACCAGCTTTTATCAGTCCTGAATCATATAAATATTTAATGACAAGGGTGTGGATTGCAGATAGCTCATAGATATTACTAAACAAAAGATGCATGCAAATTTATTTACATTTTGTTTTATGCAGATTATCTTCCTTGTTCAATAGAATTCAATTAATTCAGTGCTTGAAAAAGCCTAAATGCTTTTGTGTAGAAATGCTTGGCAGGGCACTGCATCAGTTTACAGGAGGTTCTATTGTTTCTAGAACCTAATCTTGTGTAACTACTGTAAATGGGCTTTCACAGTGCCATCTACACATGCAAGTGCATGTAGATACTTTTAGAATGTGTTTTCTAAAAGCGTTTTAATGATAGAGGAATATTCAAGACATTTTGAAATGTAATCTGGAAATGTAATCAGGGTTGTTGATACGTAATAGGTGGTTGCTTTGTTTAGCATTAATCCTCTTCCTTGGCTACAGTTAGGAGGTCATGGGATCAATTCGCATATTGAAGATTTGAGTACATAACACGGCCTGGCTCTGCAGTACCTTTGATGACTGTATTGTCAAATGTTGTGTCATTTGTATAGGATCATAAGCAGTATGGGAAAGTAAAAAAGAACAGTGGGGTGCAAGGGCATCTTCCATCGTCCTGACCAATATTTATTCCTCATCCAACATAATTACAATGTTTTTAAAAAAAATCTCATTGCTGTTTGTGGAAATGAGTTGAATTCAAATTGGCTGCTGCAGTTCCTACAATGCAACAGTGACTATACTTCAAAAGTACCTGAGATAGTAGGAACTGCAGATGCTGGAGAATCCGAGACAACAAGGTGCAGAGCTGGATGAACACAGCAGGCTAAGCAGCATCATAGGAGCAGATACCTAACTGGCTGTGGAGTATTTTGGGTTGTCTCATGAATGTCGAAGATGCTATATAAAAGCAATATTTATGATTATTTTTAATTATTTCTATGGTGCATCCATGCACAATCCTTGACTGGAAAGACAGAAAGGTGTTCCAAGTCTTGAAATTAGCAACAATAAAAGCTGAGTCACCTGGCATCCTCGTGTGAGAAACCTCCTTACCACTGTTTGTGGTCTTAGCTTTTAAGATACAGCCAAAAATCAGAACTTAGCCACAGCTGACCACAACTACTTTCTCCTTTTAAGTATTTCCATTGTGCTGTTAATGGATTACTTCAATGGCAGTTATGAAGTGTTGTTTTAGCATATTTGTTAAGTATATCCTCCACAACTTTATTTATTAAAATAATGAAATTTTCGTTATTTGTAAATAAGCTTACCACTTACCACTAGGTTGATCAAATGCATTTCCCTATACTCCCCCTCAACTGCCACACTGGCCCTACCCTGCCTTTTATAACTTGTGTTTGTTAACATACTCAAGTGACTAAATCTACTTTGTTTAAGCTGTTCTGGGACCTCTGAGGCTAACTGATAAGTCTGAATTACTGGTCATGACTGATTATGATAGGCTTTGCAATCAATGACTGAAAAATAAAATCAACTCATTGCATTTTCTGTCAGATTTTCAGAGGCTTCCACAGGAAGAAGAAGAAATGAAATCTACAGAGAAGAAGATGGAGCCTAGTGCTGTACGCAGTTGGTTTGTCAGTGGAGCAGCATTTGGGAGTTTGTTGTTCCTCACACAGTGGATATTTGGAGAAGTCTCACTCGTCTCTCGATGGGCTGTGAGTGGTCACCCAAATACTGGACCAGATCCTAATCCTTATGGGCAAGTAACATCGTACATGGAAATTTAGGTCTTAAGTCATTCAACTGGTGTCAGCAAAACTTTTTTCTTGCAAGGGGAATATCCCATTAAAATACCAACTTGGTTCTGATTAATTTATCAAGATTATGGATTGTATGACACAATCATACACTGCTTGTTCATCACCATTTCAGGAGAGTCTTGACTTTGAGCCCTGAAAGCAGTTAAGTTTTGTATTTTGTGATTATGATTGTTCACATCTTAATTTTTTGTCCTTGGTCTAAATGGATATACCTGAGGGTACACAAATATTTGGAAACAAGTTTCTTGACACTGGGAACCAGTTAGCTGTGGATGCTAATTCCCAAGGCTTTGAAATTGATGCATATTACCATTAGTAGTTGTTGGTTAAATCTTGTAAAGGTTACCGGGATGCCAGTGAACACCAGACCAGAGCAAGAATTCTCCTCAGAGGGGAGCAACTGAAACAGAAGATAACATTGGCCAGGAATCGGGAGAGTTGTGGTATTGGTGGCCAAGAGAGATCCAATTTGTGATCATTGAAGTGGGCATACAGTGGCTTCCAGAACCTTAATTAGCAATTTGACAGCGCTCCACATAATTGCACAAAGGACTTCATGATATAGACGGATAACATACTAGCTTGGATAGAAGATTGATTGGCTGGCAGAAGATATAGAGTATGTATAAATGGGTATGTTTCAGATTGGCAACTTGTGATAAGTGGGAGCCTCAGCTTTTTACAATTTATTCCAAGATTTAGATAATGGGATTGAAGGGCTGGTGGCTAAATTTGCAATGAACACAAAGACAGGTAGGGAAATTTGCTGTGCAGCTAACATAACAAGAATGTAGACCAATATAGATAGGTTGAGCGATTGGGCAAAAATCTGGCAGATGGAGTGTAATGTGGGAAAGTATGAAGTCATTCACTTTGACAGGAAGAAAAAGAACAAATATTACTTAAGTAGACAACAACCGCATAATTCTGAGGTGCAGAAGGATTTAGGTGTTTTAGTGCATGAGTGATAAAAGTTAGTAGGCAGGTACATCACATGATCAGGAAAGCTAATGAAATGTGAGCCTTTATCATGAAAGGAATTAAAGTTAAATGTAATGATGTTATGCTTCAGTTAGACAAGGCATTGGTAAGACCACATTTCAAACTCTGCAGTTTTGCTGTTCTCATTGAAGGAGGGATGTAAATGCATTGGAGGCCATTCAAAGAAGGTTTATTAGATTGATACCTGGAAGTGGTGGATTGTCTTATGAGTTCAGGAGATTGAGGGTTGATGTGATTGAACTTTGTAAGATCGTGAATGATCTTTACAAGGTAAATGTGAAAAGGATGTTTACTGTTGTGGGTGAGTGCAGAACTAGGGAGCACTGTTTTAAAATTAGGGATTGCTCTTTTAGGAGAGAGGTGAGTTTTTTTTCCTTTTAGAAAGTCATGTGACTTTGGAACTCTGCCTCAGAAGGCAGTGGAGACAGTGTTTGTGAATATTTTTAAGTTGGAGATAGATGGATTCTTGTTACGCAGGAAATCAAAGGTTATCGGTAATAAATAGGAATGTGGAATTTGTAACTCAGACTGCTCAGCCTAGATCTTATTGAAAGGTGGAGTAAGCTTGGAGGGCCACATGGCCTAATATAGTCATAGAGTCATACAGCATGGAAACAGACCCTTTGGTCCAACCACTCCATGCTGAACATAATCTCAAACTAAACTCGTCTCACCTGCCTGCTCCTGGCCATTTCCCTCCAAATCTTTCCTATTCATATATCTATCCAAATGTCTTTTAAATGTTGTAATTGTATCCATATTCACCACTTCATCAAGAAGTTCATTCCACACGTGAACTACCCTCTGTGTAAAAAAATTTGCTTCTTACGTCTTTTTTAAGTTTCTCTCCTCTCACCTTAATGTGCCCCCTAGTCTTGAAATCCTGCATTCGAGAGAAAAGATGACTACCATTAACTCTATGTATATCGCTCATTATTTTATATCAGGTCACCTCTCAACCTGCTACGCTCCAGTGAAAAAAGTCCCAGCCTATCCAGCCTTTCTTTATAACTGTCTCAATTAATATGTATATGTTGTTGCATCTGGTATTTGCTGCTTCAGGTCAAACCAGTATTATAGTAGGGTCCTCAAACAGGCAATAGGTCTTTTATTTTATTTTTGTGTGTGCAGGCCCAGGATGGATATTATCTTGCCGGTGCCAATAGGGCAGGCAAGTGCTTTCAACTCGTAATAAGCATGTGCTTCCTTGCTGCCATATTGGAGACATGATAGTGGATTAGCAGCTGAGAAAAGGATGTGACATAATTACATTTTTGGGATCTCATTTCTAGTATTGCACTCCATAGAAATAGAAATTGTGAACTCTGGAAATAAAATTAAAATACAGAAATTTATAGAAAGATGCTATTTGCCTGAAATAGATGTCAAACATTTTGTTATAATCGATTCTGATGTTCTATTGTACATATTAATTCCGTGTTGTGGTTGGTTGGCTCCCCGAGCTGGTTCGTTGTTTTTCCGCAGACGTTTCATTACCATGCTGGATAACATCATCAGTGCAGCCTCTGATTAAGCGCCGTTGTGTTTTCCCACCAGTTATTTAAACTCTGGAATCCGTTGAGCTGGATTATCTCACTTCCAGTTTTCCTTTGCAGTGGAGTGTATGGGGTTGAGCTCTAAGTGTTTGTTAATGGCTTTCTTAGTGGAATACCAGGCTCCTAGGAATTCCCGTGCTTGTCTCTGCTTTGCTTGTCCCAGGATCTTGGTGTTGTCCCAGTCGAATTGGTGGTTCCCCTTATCCATGTGGATAGAGATGAGTGAGTATTGGTCATGTCTTTTTGTAGCCAGTTGACGTTCGTGTACTCTTGTTGTTAATTTCCTTCCTGTTTGTCCGATGTAGTGTTTGTCACAGCTTCTGCAAGGAATCTTGTATATGACATTGGTCTGGTCTATTGTGGGTGGTGGGTCTTTGGTTCGGGTGAGCAGTTGGCGTAGGGTTGATGTGGGTTTGTGTGCTACTCTGATGCCCAGTGGTTGTAGGAGTCTTGTGGTCAGTTCAGATATGTTCCTGATGTAAGGTCGCATGGTGAGTGTGTTGGGGCATATGGCATCTTCCTGGCATCGTTCGTGTAATAGGCATCTTCTGACCCAGTTTTTCGGGTATCTATTGTCTTTGAAAACCTGGAAGAGGTACCCTTCTTCTCGGCATAGCTCTGTGCTGCTGCAGTGTGTTATTGCCCATTTAAATAATATTCTCATGCAACTTTGTTTATGTGTCTTAGGGTGGTTGCTGTTGAAAATACAGTACTTGGTCAGTGTGTGTGGCTTTCAGTACTTGGTCAGTGTGTGTGGCTTTCCTGTGTACCTTTGTTAGGAATTCCCCATTCCTGCGCTCTACCATGACATCCAGGAATGGAGCTGTTTGTTCTTCTTCTCTAGTAAATCTGATTCCGGTGAGGGTGTTGTTTATTAGTTCATGTGTCTCCTCCAGTTTGGTCCGTTTAATAATGACGAAGGTGTCGTCCATATAGCGTATCCATAGTTTTGGTTGGATTAGAGCCACTCAACCCAAGAGTTCCTCAATTCCATCAAGGATGTAAGAGTAGATGACGATGAGACCATGGTATCGTTTGACATTACTACCCTATTCACATCGATAGACATACCACTAGCAAGAGAAACAATGACAGCCTACTAAAACAAGAACAAAACCCCAGAGTCGCCATCTCCACAGATAACATGCTGAAGCTACTGGACCTATGCCTCACACCCACTTCACCTTTAACGGCCAAATATATGAACAGATCAACGGGACACCCATGGGATCATCTATCTCCGAACTAATAGCCGAAGCGGTGATGCGGAGACTTTAAAGTACGGCCCTTCTGCTAATCCAACTAAAACTATGGATATGCTATGTGGATGACACCTTTGTCATTATTAAACGGACCAAACTGGAGGAGATACACGAACTAATAAACAACACCCTCACCGGAATCAGATTCACTAGAGAAGAGAAGAAGAACAAACAGCTTCCATTCCTGGACGTCATGGCAGAGCGCAGGACAAATGGGGAATTCCTAACAAAGGTACACAGGAAAGCCACACACTCTGACCAACTACTGAATTTCAACAGCAACCACCCTAACACACACAAACAAAGTTGCGCGAGAACATTATTTAAACAGGCAACAACACACTGCAGCAGCACAGAGCTACACCGAGAAGAAGAAGAGTACCTCTTCCAGGTTTCAAAGACAATGAATACCCAAAAAACTGGGTCAGAAGATGCCTATTACACGAATGACAGCAGGAAGATGCTACATGCCCCGACACACTCATCACGCAACCTTACATCAGGAACACATCTGAACTGACCACAAGACTCCTACGACTACTGGGCATCAGAGTAGCACACAAACCCACATCAACCCTACGCCAACTGCTCACATGAACCAAAGACCCATCACCCACAATGGACCCGACCAGTGTCATATACAAGATTCCCTGCAGAGACTGTGACAAACACTACATCGGACAAACAGGAAGGAAATTAACAACAAGGGTACACGAACATCAATTGGCTACAAAAAGACACGACCAATACTCACTCATCTCTATCCACATGGATAAGGAGAACCACCAATTTGACTGGGACAACATCAAGATCCTGGGACAAGCAAAGCAGAGACAAGCACAGGAATTCCTAGAAGCCTGATACTCCACAAAGAAGGCCATCAATAAACACTTAGAGCTTGACCCCAATATACACTCCACTGTGCAGGAAAACGAGAAGTGAGGTAATCCAGCTCAACAGACTCCAGAGTTTAAATAACAGGCGGGAAAACACAACAGCGCTTAATTGGAGGCTGCACTGATGATGTTATCCAGCAGGGTAACGAAAAGTCTGCGGAAAAACAACGAACCAGCTCGGCGATCCAACCAACCACAATATGCATAACCCCAGCTACAAATCTACTCAAAAACCTTAAACATATTAATTTCAATTTTAAACAACTTTGATATGCATTTTCAAAATTTGTAACCCTATATTCTTTTTTCCTATCGTGTGCTGTGCCCAAATGATAGGTCCTTGACAGTTTCCTCATGCTTGATCCTGAGACTCTGTCTTTTGTCCGTGGGTAATTTGGCATTGATTTACACTCTCAGGAGCAGGATGATGAAGCAGGTCCCAAATCCACCTCAGTTGGATTGGGAATCAAGCTCTTACTGTTAATGTTAATTGAATTACAGACTAGACATCTCGCCAACTGAACTAACCAGCCTCCATAATGTCACTCTGCAAAAAATGCATTTTGTTTGTTCTGTTGTCATTCCAAATTTTAGCTTTTTGTTCAGGCAGCCTGGCTGTTGTCACCGTGAGAAAGGGATGTTTGAGGTAATATTTCATTGTTCCTATCATTCCCATTTTAATGATGTCACCAACATGGTAGATTTGTGGACATTCATTGTAAATGATTATAAAAAGTTATGAATGAAAGTTCTCAATAAAATGTTATCTGGGATATAGAAATTTAAGTAATAGACCCATTTTTTTACCCAGGTGCATGGACCTTTTGGATTTTCAAAGTTTGTTCCAGTGATGTGAGCATTGCTGGCGAGGCCAGCATTTATTGACATCCCTAATTGCCTTTGCCTGGCAGTGTTCTGCCTTCTTGAACTGTTGCGGTCCATGTGGTGTAGGGTCATTCACAATCTTGTTAGGAAGGAAGTTCCAGGATTCTAACCCAAAGGCATTGAAGGAACAGCAATATAGATCCACCTCAGGATGGGGTATAATTTTGGAAGGGTATTTTCAGGGAGTGATGTTCTCATGTATCTGCTACCCTTGGCTTTCCAGGTGGTACAGGTTACAGGTTTGGGAATTGCTGTCTTAAGGAATCTTGGTGAGTTGTTGCAATGCACCTTGTAGATAGTGCAGGCTGCTGCTACTGTGCATTAATAGTGAATAGAGAAAACACTGAAGGTGTTAGAAGGGGTGCAAATCAAGTGGGCTGCTTGTCTTAGATGTTGTTGAGCCTCTTGAGTGTAGTTCAAGCTGTACTCATAAGGATTTCAAAGATGAACATATGTGAAGGGGGAAAGAGTGATCAGTAATGTAGGAACTAACCTTGCAGAAGGGTTGGCTTGGGTGGGGGACCATCAGGAATCCAGGCTCGAAGTGCAGGTAACCTGTTTTCGAGTTGGGGATGGAGTCGCTGCATCAGGTAGACGTAGGGTGCTGTGCTCGGATAAAGGGTGGATTTGTTGTGCGAACAGTGGGTTGGGGCTGGAGGCCCAGGCCAAGACCGGCAATGGGATGCATGATTTCTGTTCCTGCCCCAGGTGTGAGGGACCATGCATGAAAGGCAGAGGATATGAGGTTACGTATGTTGCTTTGGTGGAACATGGGGTAGTGTGTGGGGTGAATGGTGAATGCTGGAAGATTGTTTTATGTTTCTCACCTTTAGAAAAGGTAAGATCTGATCTGATCTGATCCTGGGACTCCTTTGAGAGATGTTCAACATCCTTTGGAATTGTAAATAGGAATGTCTGTGAATAAAATTTGCATAAACCCACTGAGACTTGCATTGTTGTCAAAAAGACTATCTAAAACAGTGTGCAGTTGAAAAAAACACTGCTGGTTATTTGAGTGTGCCTGGTTCTACAAAACATGCATGAATGATTTTCCAAACTATCACTTTCACAAAAGGAATAATGGGGTGCTATTGGTGGACAGTTCGAACTGCTCTTGAATGAAAGTTTTTTTATTGATTTAATGCTTTTAATACTTGAGAAAATGCTTGTTGATGTAAGGTATTAGCCACAAATAAAATGTTGGTTTTTGATAAGTTAGTCAACATTGAAGCAAAATGTTTGTTTTCATGAGGAATTTGTTCTTGCAATTTCACTGCATTGGCTGCATTAGATGTTTATTTTCTATTAATGAGTGTGTTTTTGTAGATAGATATTATATTGTGTGACATTGATATTATACTGGTAACTTTATTTTCTGTCCTGATGTCTCCTGATTAAAGCATCTGATAATAGGTCAGTTGGCTTGAAAAGAGAAGGGCAAAGGATGATGGGTAGGAGATGATTGACTTAGGAACTATAAAGAGCCATGAACATGATTGAGGCATATTGCATGTGAGGGACAATGAGACATGGGCTTGGTTTGGCATAGGGTTAAAAAGCTAGATGAACGGCAACCATTGTTGATTATTTCAAAAACCCATCTGGTTCACTAATGTCCTTTAGGGAAGATAATCTGTTATGCTTGCCCAGTCTGGCCTACATGTGATGCCAGACCATTGTAGTTGACACTTAACTGTCCTCTGAAACGAAAGACAATCAATGCAAAGACAATTCAGTGTGGGCAACAAATGCTAGCCTATCCAGAGACAACCGTATCCAGTGTAAGATTAGAGTTAATCCTGGTATAATGGGGTATGAGAGGTGGGTACAGGGGAATAAGTTGACATTGACATTGTATGTATGACAGATCAAGGAGGTTGGATGGATGGGCATATGATGGCATAAAAGTGTAAGGGGCTGCAGGGATATAGGTTGACATAGAGAACAAGAGGGTTAGAGAAAGAAGGATGTTTTCTGTTTTTTGTCTTTTTTTAGACTTTGCACATCATGCCTTGGTCCTCCAGCAGGCTTTCCATCCAGCCCACCTTGAGAACAAGGCAGCCTGTTAGCCTTATCTCAGTTGCGTAATGTAGACCACCAGCGCAGACCAGAAATCCAAAGTGTATGGCCATGTTTCAACACTGAGATTGCGGAACCAGGATTTCTCCCACCTCTAAACAAGGGAATGAAAATCAGGGCCTTTATTGTGTAAGGATGTCTGCAAACTGTGGATTCAGAGTTGTGCAAATTAATAAAAAAGCTTTTTCCTTCTTCCAGAGGTCTGATTTTGACTGCCATGGCACTTGGTGTGATGTTATCCTTTTGGCCTTCTGTGGTTAACAGCGTTGCCTTTTGGCTAATAGGTATGGGATTCATAGTGCATGATAATAGTGTTTTGTAGAATAAGAAAAACATCGATATTTTCTACCTTATGCTGTCTCCCTCTGTTAAAGACTCATGTTGGTGTGCAGACTTATGGTACCTAAGTTAACAACTGTTCATGTGGGTTAGTCAATAAGTTATTAATAGCTGTCAACTCTCATCTCAGGACCCGGAAAATACTTGAACTGTTTTGTAATTGTCCCCAGCTAATGTTTGATTAAATCAGTACAGGTTAGAGATCAAACTGTAACAACAAACAACAGCAGGCCAATCAGCCTTTCAAGCCTGCTCCATCATTCAGTGAGATAATGGCTGATCTGATTTTAATCTTAACTCTACATTTCCGCATATCTCTAATAAACTTTCATCCCTTTATTAACCAAGAATCTTAGCTACTTTTACCTTTAAAAAATTTAAAGAATCTGTATCCACAACCTTTCAGCAAGGAAATTCCAAAGATACTCAGCACTCTTAGAGGATCCTCATCTCTGCCTTCAATGGGCAGTTCTTAGTTTTAAACTATGACCCCTTCAGTTATATAGCTTATCTCTGGTAAAATGATCTGTCTTGAACCAGCACTAGAAAATCTTCTCTCGTTAACTTGTATTTCTCTGCAATTTATTTGATCAAATCCATTTTGATTCACTATAAATGGTAATGAGCAGGTAACAAAATGAGAGAGATTTGTGTTGCCAAAATCTTTTAATGTTGGTAGAACTGACAAAGTGTGGACTAAAAAATAACAAAATAATGATTTCTAGCTCCTTATTTAATTCCTGTAGCATACAAGATTTCAGACCAGGTTTTCTGCCAGGAATATTTTCTGATAGCTTCACAAGGCTACAAAACTTTATTTAAATCAGGATATAATAAGGAAGCCCACAATTTCCATTTTTTCCAACTCATTCCAATTAGTGCTAAGCTTGACCATTCAAAATGTACATTAAAGACTGGTGAGGCTCTCTTGCTTCTCAGGTATGAAAACAAAGTTACATATCATTTATAACCTCCTGCCATCATTGCAAGAGTTGGAGTTTGCTTTCAGTGACCCCTATTACAGAGTATCATGCGGATGAAGAACAAAGACAACATGTAGGTAGATAAGATGGCATCAAAGACAGATGCCTTGTGATGGAAGTAATGCCACCAATCAAAACTACAAGCTCAGGCCCAAACCTGGAACTGAACAGATTTGCATAAGCATCAGTAAGTTCAAGTTGATCAGTGGATTGGATGTAGAATTTTCAATCTGGTGCATGGATATCTATTCAAAAATAAAACATCAGGGTGATACAGCTTCTGGTGCTTTAGAGACGTCAACTTTAATGCTGCTGCATCCTTTCAGATTAATAAAGGGAATGTCTGCAGTTAATAACTGCTGTAGTATCGTCTGCAACCAAATGCTGCAACCATTGTAAGGAATGCTATCATTTCCTTTCACATGCATATTAATTAGAGTATGGCAGATAGTCCACAAGTCAGGAAGATGGTAATGTGGTGGGGGGAGGATGCAATAAATAGGTTATGCAGAAGAATTACAGATCAGCCCATAGTTTTCCCAACACTTTTCCCACTCAGTGCTAAGCGTGACAATTCAAAATTAGTAAAAATAGTCTTTACACATTCTCCATCACTAAATATTTTTGAAAGACCATCCATAAAATTGTTTGCAAAGACAATTAGTTACTTGAAAAATAGATGTATTAAAGGGTAAGGAGAATGTGAGCAGAGTGGAATTAAAATCAAGTGAGTTATGGAAAAGCAGTGGTACAGAATGACCAAATATAAGAACATAAGAACTAGGAGCAGGAGTAGGCCGTCTGGCCATTCGAGCCTGCTCTGCCATTCAATAAGATCATGGCTGATCTTTTCGTGGACTCAGATCCACTTACCCGCGTTCTCACTGTATCCCTTAATTTCTTTATTGTTCAAAAAAAATCTACCTTTTCTTTCAAAACGTTTACTGAAGTAGCATCAACCACTTCACTGGGCAAGGAATTCCATAGATTAACAACCCTCTGGGTGAAGAAATTCCTTCTCAATTCAGTCCTAAATCTGCTCCCTCTAATCTTGAGGCTATGCCCTCTTGTCCTAGCTTCACCTGCCAGTGGAAACATCCTCTCTACTTCTATCTTATCTATTCCCTTCATAATTTTATATGTTTCTATAAGATCCCCCCTCAATCTTCTGAATTCCAATGAATATAATCCCAATCTACTCAGTCTCTCCTCATAAGCCAACCCGCTCAACTCCGGAATCCTTGTTCTGTACTCTACATTTGGGTCTCATAGACTTATAGAGTCAATGAGGTGTACCATATGGAAACAGAACCTTCAGACCAACTCGTCTATGCTGACCAGATATCCTCAATCAATCTAGTCCCATTTGCCAGCATTTGGCCCATATCCCTCTAAACCCTTCCTATTCATAAACCTATCCAAATGCCTTGAGGTTCCGAGGAAGGGTCACCGGACCCGAAACGTTAACTCTGTTTTCTCCTCCACAGATGCTGCCAGACCTGCTGAGCTTTTCCAGCAACTTTCTTTTTGTTGCCTTGAGGTTGTTGGCTTGCTAGCCAAGCTGGCTGGTTATCGTGCAGATGTTTCATCACCATGCTAGATAACCTCATCAGTGCGGCCTCCGATGAAGCGATGTTGTTCTACTTCGCTTGGTATTTACATGATCCGGCCTGTTAAGTTGGGTTGTGTCATTTCTGGTCCTGTTCTGCATGGGTTTGTAAAAGGGGTCTAATTCCACATATTTGTTGATTGCTTTATGCCAGGCCTGTAGGAATTCCTGTGCATGTCTGTGGTTGTCTTGAGCTAGGATGGTCACGTTGTCCCAGTTAAATTGATGGCCTTCATTGTCCGAGTGCACTGAGATGAGGGAAAATTTGTTGTGTTGTTTTGCTGCTAGCTGGTGTTCGTGTATCCTGATGGCTAGTTTCCTTCCAGTCTGGCCGATGTAATGTTTGTTGCAGTCATTGCAAGGTATTTTGTAAACTACGTTGGTTCTGCATGTCATGGATATGGGTTCTTTGGTTCTTGTGAGTGTTTGTCGTAGTGTGGCTGTGGGTTTGTGTGGCACCATGATTCCTAGTGATTGAAGGAGTCTTGTTGTCAGTTCTGATATGTTCTTGATATAGAGCAGTGTGGCCAGTGTATTGGGGTGTACTGTGTCTTTTTGGCATTGACTTTCTTGTAGGCACTTGTGGATGAAGTTGTTGGAATATCCGTTGTTAACAAAGACCTTGTATAGGTGCTCTTCCTCCTTCCTGCATAGTTCTGGCATGTTGCAGTGAGTTGTAGCCCATTTGAATAGTGTCCTAACAAAGCTTTGTTTGTGGACATTGGAGCGATGGCTGTGGAAATTGAGGATTTGGTCAGTCTGGGTTGCTTACCTATATACTGTGGTTTGGAACTCCCCGTTAGTCATTCGTTCTACCCTGACATCTAGAAATGGAAGTTGATTGTTGTCTTCCTCTTCTCTCATAAATTTGATCCCGGTGAAAACATTGTTGATGAGATGGTCTGTCTCTTCTAACTTGGTGCGTTTAATGATGACAAACGTGTTGTCCAAGTATTGGATCCACAGTTTCGTCTGTATCGGGGGTGGGGGGGCTTTAGTGCGTCCCAGTCTTTGCATGACTGCCTCTGCAATAAGTCCTGAGATGGGTGACCCCATAGGCGTGCCATTGATTTATTTGTATATTTGGCCATTAAAGATGGAGTGTGTGGTGAGGCACAGGTCCAGTAGTCTGAGCGTGTTGTCCTTGCTGATGGAGCTGTTTGCAGTCGGGGTTATTTATCTTGCATTTGGTAATGTGGCAAGTGTTTCTTTGTCTAGTGGTACGTCAATGGACATGAATAATACTGTCATGTCAAAGGATACCGTAATCTTGTCGTCGCTGATTTTAATGTTCTTGAGGTTGTTAAGGAATTCCTGGGTTGAGTGTATGGAGTGGGGTGATCTATTGACCAGGTGGTTCAGTCTCTGTTATAGGTCCTTGGCCAGTTTGTATGTAGGTGTACCGGGTAGGAACACAATGGGTCTGACGGGGATGTCTGGTTTGTGTACTTTGGGTAGTCGGTAGAAGCGGGGGGTTGAACAAACCGGACTACATCGAGAAAGCACAGGCACTGCTTGCAGATACACACACTTACCAACAGGTGGAGATAGACCCAACACTGCAGCAAGCAAACAGGATAGCCTCTCTGCTCCTATGATGCTGCTTGGCCTGCTGTGTTCATCCAGCCCTGCACCTTGTTGTCTAGGATCACCCAAACGCTGAGGAGACTAAAACATGCAGGACAAATAACCAAGACAGACTACATGAAAATGAAACCAGCAGAAATGCCGATTCCAAACAGTCCCATCAGCAAGGACAATATGCTCAGACTACTGGACCTATGCCTCACCACACACTTCATCTTTAACAGCCAAATATACAAACAAATCAGTGGCACACCTATGGGGCTGCTCATCTCAGGACTTATTGCAGAGGCAGCCAAGCAAAAACTGGAATGCACTACCCTCCCCCTCATACAGCCAAAACTGTAGATCCGATACATGGACGACACGTTTGTCATTATTAAACACACCAAGTTACAAGAGACACACCATCTCATCAACAACGTTTTCACCGGGATCAAATTTAGCAGAGCAAAGGAAGACAACAATAAACTTCCGTTTCTAGATGTCAGGGTAGAATGCACTACCAACGGGGAGTTCCAAACCACACTAACTGCATATTAATGAACTAAACATTTTCTTTAATTCTGCTTAAAATAACACTGCCTGTTACTGAATATGAAGAAGGTGTTTGGTGTGCTTGCCTTTATTGGTCAGTGCATTGAGTAGAGGAGTTGGGAGGTCATGTTTTAGAATATTGCATTCAATTCTGGTCTGCCTGCTATAGGAAGGGTATTGTGAAACTTGAAAGGGTTCAGAAAAGATTTAAAAGGATGTTGCCAGAATTGGA